AACCACTAATGAACTACAATTTGACAATCATACCGGAAGAAAGGAAAACATACAAACAGTTTTTTTCCCTTATATGCCAAGACTCGGGGGAAAACTTCGAAGAATGATAAATAAACCTGACATAGAGTAGTCTTTATAAGTCCTCCTACACTACGTGACATGGTTTGTAACGCGCAGAGTGAGTATAATAAATAATACATTGGAGAGATACTACGCCCGTTACAGGTAATATTCAAACAACATCAAAGAAATAAACTAAAAACTGTGCTACAAGCACATTGGCAAAAGTCTTTCAGGTTCATGAAAACGGCCACATAATGGACTTAAAAATGCAAAAATAATAGACAGAGAATGAAACATCAAACAGAGAAAAACACAGTGGACTACCAGTAAACATTAACCGAAACGGCCAACAACTACTCGGAACTGTACGGGCACCACTTATCAAAAATATCAAATACATAATTTGTCGTGGTATCGACGTAAAATTATACCTTTAAAAAAGTCCAACTTCTGTTGTGCTTTACTCATACCAATAATTCTATAGTGTCATAATTTGAATTTTTAAGCATGATAATTTCCTATGTAATACCTATGGTTGTACATTTTTATTTTCTTTTGCTTATTTCCCCAAAAGCGGGCTGAAAACCAACCAGAGGGATCACCAGTTTTAACCACTTACACCATTATACAGTAGTGTGTTTGTTGCCTGACAGTCAGTCAGTATACACTAAAATGACTTCAAATAAGGGACGTTTAATATTGAAATTTGTACTATTGTGACGTCAGTAAAACTTGCACATGTCATGAATCACGAAAAGAATTATGTACTTTGTAGACTACAACACAGCATGACATATGAACCACTAAAAGCAAGAAGTACATCTAGTTAAAATTCAAGTAATTGTTCGATTTTCAGTATTTTTAAACAGTAGAGTGTGTAAGATACTTATATTGTTATATGGCTAGAAAGACAGAGTTTTGGTTTATATGTAAAAGTCTGTTAATTCTCCACTTGTCATAATTCGTTTTCAGTATTTTTTATATTGTTTAACCCTTTCGATACGGGTTCGGCCCATCGGATTGACCTCGTAACCATTGTGTGCTTGTTATAGTTTTCATGCTATAACTTTTAAATTGGTAAGCGTATGTTAACGAAATTTGGCAGATTATCAGTTAACATTACAATGCTTTTATACACAAATATTAATTGTTTGTTTTTTTAAGCAAAATTTCTCATACCTTTTTTTTTTCTTTTCACTTGTTACCTAACCAACATGCAAAATAATTTTCATTTTAAGATTAAAAATATTTTTATGCATCAGAACATTTTCAAATTTCACATGAGAAATCTTTATCATGTCCAGATAGTTATTAAACGTTTCTTAAGGTAAAACTTTATATTTTTTTCTAATATTTTCACTAATGAATCTCTACGGGTTCGATAGATTTGAACAATCTCGTTACCAACATAAAAATTAGGAAATATTTATACATTATACTTCTTTCATCCTAGAATGACTACAAATTATAACACAAAAACATAAATGTTTAGTAGACAAATAGCTTAAATCTCATAACATTATACATTTATATGAATTTATTATTTTCAATTATATTGACCTTTTAGCCGTGCCTGGCTAACATTACAGAAGTTGTAATGACGCGGCGCACGTGCACTCATGTTACCATATCCAATAATACAAAACTGATCTTTAGTTTTAACAAAGTGACTCTGTCTTGGCTGTGTTTTAGTAGACTAGTATTTAGTAAATACACTAACATTTCAATTATTATACATTATATATGGATATCGATTATTATTATTTAGAAATAAGTTATTAAACATGTCTTTCTTAAAACACAGAAGCAAACAGTTAGCTATCTCTTCTAGTTACGATCTTTGTACTCTTGTTTGTTTGTTTGAAATTATGCACAAAGCTACACAATGGGCTATCTGTGCTCTGCCCACCACGGGTATCGAAACCCGGTTTCTAGCGTTGTAGGTCCGCTTATCTGAAAAATAAGTTATCTCAAGCACAGTTGAAAACTCACAGGTAGGCCAATTTAGAATAAACTCTGTAAACCAAAATGAAATTATTTGATTTCATTATTATATTTT